GAAACAAAATGCTCACTCTTATTGCACTGACATCTGCTCCTGCAGGGAGCTAGTCCTCCTGCAAATGTGTTGCAATTTCCTTCAGCAGTCAGCTTATATGTATATATATACAAACACACATATGTGTACATAAAAATATTACTTTGTCAGGTCTCACGATGACCACAAACCTCACTCGAGTTCCCTATTCTTACAGTCCTGCAGCAAGGCCAGGCTCTCTAGTGCTCCAGGAAAAGTCCTCTTGTGACACCGCCGCTGTGCACATGCACAGGCTGTGCTTAGCCTGTGGGGTCATGGGGCAGGCAGAGGGATACCGCACTGGTGCTGGGATGTTGAGTCCGTGGCCCCACCATAAGGCACATTCTGGTGTTACGGGCTCGCCCTACAGCTGCTCTCTGCTGCAGGATCTGTTCTCCACCCTCCTCCCCGTGTCTCAACCATGTCGTTTGTAGCTGCTCTGTAAGCAGCTGAACTAATTTGGCCTGTTCTTCTCTGGAGTGCTGCCCCTTTTTTTCTAGTTGCCCCATCACCACTTCCAAAACAGCTGCATCACCATGTAATATCATACTGTAGTCTCCCCCTTTCTGTCATGGTCCTGGCAGTGAAGGCAAAGAAGAGTGGCTCCAGCGTCTGCTCTTTGTGAGTGTTCCACACCACTTCCCCTGAGTCAAATGTGGCTGAATGGGAGGTTAAAGAGGTTACTGTTCTGATAGGTCATTTAAAACTTGTTTCCTTAGAAAACCCGTGTTGAAAAAATTAGTTTCATCTTCCCTTCAAAAAACGTTGGCAGGGTTCAGGAGAAATAAAAAAGAATATATATAGCTGCAGAAAGCTGAAAGTGGCAGCAGGTGGCTGGAAAGCTGCAGGGAGGAGGAGAAAGCAAGAATGCCTGGTCAGAAGCCACAGCAAGGGCAAGTCTGTACAAAGCCAGCACTGCTGGGTTATTTTAGCTGCAGCTGCTTTTGTCTTCAAAGGGCCACTGCCAAGTGGAAGAGATACTGCTTGGCCACCTCCAGCTCTGTGTTTCCTGTTGCAAATCTGGAGGACAAGGCTCCCCCCATCTCTTTGCTGCCTGCTTTCTGTGCTTCATGTGTTAGGAGATGTCTGTACCCTATCCACTTCCAGTTTGCTCTTCCAAGTCCAAGCCAAACACCTGTGTGTGGTGTTTATGCTTCTTGCATTAGTTGGTGAGTGACACAGGTTTAGCCTGGCATGTGTGCCCTTTTGCTGCCTGCTTCCTGCACATCTCCCGTGTCACACTGCAATGGCTTAAGTCCTGCTGCTGGAGCTTGGATCTGATGTGTAACAGCAGCTTGCAGAAATGTACTTTGGAGTCCAGTGTGAAAACGAAGAGACTTAGATTTATGTTGAATGAAGTGTCTTGAGTTGCAGTTTAGTTTAGTCCTTTAAGCTCAACATCAGCCCAAAGGGGAAAACTATAAGCAAATTTTAAAAAGAGAGAGTGTGACTGTGTGCATGAAGGCAGATGTTTGGTAGTGAAGGTGTTTGAGTACACCCAGAAATGCCTTGTATAAAGTCTGTGAGACATCCCAGGGCAGAAGTCCGCCCTCCCATCCCAAGTGGTGTCCCCAGGCAGGGGATCAGTGTTGTTCTTCTGCAGAAGCTGATACATTCCTCCATGCTGTCAGCTTGCAGAAATTGTGTCGTGAGCCTCGTGCTTGTGTGCCCTCCAGGCCCAGCACAGGAAAACACCCACTGGCATCTCCTTTTCTGAAAGCAGACTTGTTCATTGCAGCTTGATTCTGCCATGTTGGAGAGCATTCCTACTCCCCCTCTCTGATGTAGGTGATCTCTGCCACCTCATAGAGAAGAAAAAGTCACAGTTGTGTGGCCTGACAAGTTACATGGCACCACCTAGGAGCCAGACTGCTGCAGGAGTCAAAGAAGATAACGGTACAAACTCAAGTCCAACCTTCAGCTGATGAAGGCAGCTGGGCTGGGCATCTGTCTTGGATGGGCCCGAGCACCGTGGGCAGCCCAGGCTCCTGGGAGGTGAGAAATGCCCGAGCTCTGGCTGGCCTCAGGTGGGGTGTCAGGCTCTGATTCTGAGAGCCCTGGGGCATCAGGCTGGATGAGAAAGCAAGGGCTGGGGATGACAGATAAACAGACTGATAATAATAAACTCTTGGACCAGAAAGCAAAAGAACAGTACAGAAATGCTCCTCCCACCAGTCAAATGCCACGTAATTTTCAGCGCATGTTTAGCTGAATGAGGAAAAGATTCTCCCTAGCTTGAGAGATATTTGTAAACACTTTGTTGGCTTGTCCAAGTAAGGTTGATATAAATGGGAATAGCAGCTATTTGGGTGGCTGGGGAATTGACAACACAAAACAGTTTACATGGAGACATGTAACGGATGTGCCACGTACTCCCAGGAGAGCAGCCTGGCAGCTCTGCATGTTCAGAGAAGTTTCAGTAGATCCCAGAGCTGACAAATCCACAGTAAAACTGGACTTGCAGCCAGCAGCCAGTGGTCTGTTCAGCTTCTTTTTTCTTCACAAACTCCCCAAATAAGCCATTTTCCACCTTCCTTTGGCTGCCATTAAACCAAGCCACGGCGTTTTGACAGATTCTCCATTTTATGTCAAAAATATCTCCCATAATTTCTGAGTAACTTTCAGAGCATCTCTGTAATAACCCATCCTCTTGGACTTTCCTGCAAGCCCAGGGATTGCAGGCCTGCTCCTCGCTGTCCTGTTCACTGATGACTTTGGCTTCACCACCTTTTCAGTTCATTTCTTACAGCAGGATATTCAGAAACAGCTCCCTAAAATTAACAGAGTAGGTAGGGACAGGGAAGCATGGGGCATCCCATTCCAAATGTAATGAATATTTTATACCCACGCTACTCACAGAGTCTAGGAAGAAAATTATGCTTTAAAGATGCTTTTGGTACATTATATAAAAAGTTCTACCAATATTTCTTCAGAAAAATATCAAGAGGAAAGCAGCATAAATCTCCCCCAGAGTGAGATAATTCACAAATACAATAGAAAAATTAGTCAAGAGTCCTTGAAGGAAGCTATCAAATGTGTATGATGATTCAGTGCATAACGGTAGGAAACAAGAAGCAAATAAACAGGAAAAAGAGGAAGGAGCTGGCAGGGAAAGTGTGGTAGGTAAAGAACAAGTCACCTAGAGCAAGTACTCCGAGAGGCTCTAAATGGACATCTTTAACAGTAGGAGCAGGAAAAGGAGTTTGAAAAAGGCTCTATTTCAAGTAAATCTTGAGTCAAATGAGGCTAATTAGCCTCTCATGGCAAAAGGAAAACATTGCTTAATTTTAATTTCACATTTTCATCCTTCTATTTTTGTAACTGTGCTTCTTTATTGCCCATCATTTTTTATAAATTAACATATTATTTTTTCATCCTTACAATTTTTCCATCTACAAAAAAAATCCACTAGAGTAACCCAAGATGGGAGAGGGCCTCCCAATCCAATTCTTGCAGCGCTTTGTAGCCCAGGACTGCTTGAAGATGTTCACAGGGCTCCAGTGTAGATGCCTATTGAGTTGCCTTTCACAATTCAGGACTTGGTGGCATAGAGGCTCCTCCACTCTCTGGCGATAGACAAGAAAACAGTATTATGGGGAGAGTAACCAAAACCAAAGTAGGAGTTTGTACTAATGCAGCTCCTGTTTCACAAGTCACTGTGTTAGCTTTTTTTTTTCCCCCCCCCTCCAGCATTTCTGTTTCTCTTTCCTCTCTCTTGGGCTCTCCTGACCGCTCTCTCCTCTCCACTGTGACTTCCTCTAGTCACCCAGAGGTTGCTGCTGCCGTGTGCTAATGACTCCTGGATGCACTGTTTAAAGTGATCTGTCCAGTGCTCCAGCCTGATCAGCCTCAGGGCAGAGATCAGATTGGATCAGCTGGGGTGGAACCTCAGGTTTCCTTTACAGCCGCCAGCTGTGCCTTATGTCACCCTCTCTCCTGCAGGGACAGAAGATGCTGCCTGTCTCCAGGTAGCTCACCTTTGCCGCGCAAGGGCAGCGTGATGATTCTTCCCACGCCCACATGCACAGCATTGTTTGCTGCTCCCTCCAGCAGGGTGATGAAAAGAACCAGTCTTTCCTCTTGGCCACAACACATGGTATCGTTATCAAGCCATCTTGTCTCACAATTACTGCAACTTTTATGCCAGCGTCCGCAGCAACCGCTTCACTCGCTAGAAGTTAATCTGAAGGAGGATGCTAAAACATCTTTCTTTCTTGATTACTTTCAAGCTTTAAAGACTTGTGACCTAAAACCTTGATCTCGTACAACGTAAAAGACACAGAAGTGTTGGAGTGTATCTCAGGAAGAAGACAATGTCTGTGTCAAGCCATGATGCATCAGAGGGGTGTTAGCACCCATTACAGATTGAGTACTTACAGATCAGGGTTTTTTTATTCCTAAAAAAACCCAACCTGACTGAAGATCTCCCTTGTTTCTTGATTTATAACACAATTTAAGGTAAAATCTGGAAGTCTCAAATGATGTTCATGGTATTCAAAAGGGCCAGCAGGATAGAACAGGCAAGAGTCCACAGCCACGGTCCTAGGGGTGTTACTGAGGGTACAAAGCTAAGACATTAGGGGCTGAACGCACCACACTGTATGACTGTTGGCAGTGCTAGTCCACGTGGTTTTATGGAAAAGAATTAAAAAATAAAAAACCTAATTTATTGATTTGAGGAGCTTCCAAATCCAATGATGAGAGCGCTTGTGCAGACGGAGGAGTCTGGCGCAGGGCTTCAGTGGGGTTCTGGCTGTTTCCAGCCTGCCTCCTGCGGCACCAGCCGCCTCTGGGCCCAGCTGCGAGGGAGCCCGGCTGCGCCCTGCTCTTCCTGCTCCGCTTGCACTGTCGCTGCTCCTTGGCGGCTCCCCGGCCACCCCCAAGCTCCCACGCCTGGAAACACTGGGCAACAACCGGGCAGAGGCCGCGGGCAGGGCAGGCTCCGTCCGGCAGGGACATGTTGAGACGGAAAGCAGGAAAACATGGGCTCCGAGGGGCCCGCTTTCCCGCTGTGCCTGCCGGGCCTGCGGCAGCTGCAGGAAAGCTGGGCAGGGGCTTTTCACAAGGGCTCGTAGTGAGAGGGCAAGGGGTAATGGTTTCAAGCTAGAAGAGGGAGATTTAAATTAGGTGTTAGCAATGAGTTTTTCCCTTTGAGGGCAGTGAGACACTGGAGCAGGTTGCCTCTCCCTGGAGGTGTTCAAGGCCAGTGAAACAAACATTTCGGAGCTTCCAAACCCCCTTGCTTTCTAACCCTCCTCACCGCAGTGGGAGGTGCGGCTGGGTAAGGATTCCGACATCAAGACCCAATAACAACAAACAAGCTGTTATTGAGCAGGCATTGTTAATTGCAGCGCTGGGCAGCACTGGGGATTCTCCGCCATGAGTGCTCCAACGAGTCAGTGAAACACCCCAACTAATATACCCCAAGAACATGCATATTCAGTTCCATGTCAATGAGTCCCCAGAATTCTTTTACATAGTCATTTTATTTCCTGGAGTTGGCTATCTTTTTAATTATGCATGCTCAAAGGTCTCCTGTGGGGGTCTTTGTTGATTCTAGCCTTTTGTTGTCCTTGTCCTGTCTCTCCTTCTGGTCCTGTCTCCAGTCTCCTGCTGATAGATTGCCCAGGTGAGTCAGAGTCCACATGAGTGTTGTCTGTGGGTTCAAAAGGGTCTTAGAAGACTTGATGTTATCACAACCTACAGGATGCTTGGCATAGTTGACTGATAGTTTCACAAAGCACCTTGGTTTAAAAGCAACCCTCTTAGTATAGCAAATTCATTATTTTAGTAAATTTTTATTAGGCTATATTTCTATTGAATTTACTAACGAATATCCTATGATGTATCACCAGGTGGGATGGAGCTCTGAGTAATCTGATCTAGTGAGAGATGTTCCTGCCCGTGCAGGGGGGTTGGATCTAGGTGATCTTTAAGGTGCCTGTTCTGTGATTCTAGGAGCTAAGTGGAAGGCCTGACACTAGCCTGCCTGCTGTCATTGCTGCCTCCTGATGATCAGCCCATGTTCTTGCCTGTTAACTCTTGTGTCCGTGTACCTTGTGTGGATTTTCAGCATTTTTGTGGGGCTGAGAGCCTACGGCAGTAATACCATTGTACCTCGGTGTGCCTGATGTTGCAGTGTAGTTCTGTCGGAATACAGGAAACCTGAAGAAGTGACAGCAGATGAGGGCTGTGTACCTCAGAGGGGGTCATGTCCGTAAGGCAGGAGGGAGAGGTGACTGCATCAGAGATAGGAGCTGAAGAGGAGGCAGACACTGTGACCAGTGAGCAGGGCAGAGGACAGGTAGCACCATGAAAGAAAAGTGATAGGAACTCTGAATGGTCTTCTGAAGCAAGGAGGTGGCAGACAGGGTCAGAAAAACACCCAATAGCACTAGCCAGGGAATCCCCAGACTGGGTTAATCGGCTCAGCCTATTCCCTCCATGTTTGTTGCTCCTTTCCGCTTGATAAGCAGTATTTTTTTTGCCCCAGGAAGAACTGAGTCATATTCCTTGCTGCCCTGCCCCCCTAATGATCGGGGTGCATGTGGTAAAATGGCTTAGGCTCTTTGCCCCTTGCTGCTCCAGGCTGTAATTTTCAGCATACCATTGTGATTAGCTAATGCCTCATAGCCCATGCAAGCTGCTGAAGAGTGATAAACTGAGACTTTGAACTGCAGCCTGTCACACAGATGGCAATAACTGCAGAAGGTGTGAAGCAGTAGAAAATTTGTCCTGATGACCTTTTTCCTACCTCATTAACTGATAAAATTGTTTTGTCCCATTAGCATCTGCAGACTTGCACCTGATTTAGTTGATGGCAGAGCAGAACAAGGGCCAAGGAAAATAATTTTGAAATTGTTTCCTGGTATGTAGGGAAGTTTTCTAAGGATCCAAGTGCCAGAGTTGTGCTCCTTGGAATAAGTGAGAGAGGTTGTAGGTTGAAGTCAGGGAGCTGTGAATTTGAAATGTGTTATGCAAATAATGCTTTGAAAATGTGCTGGGGCCAAGGGAGACTAGTAGGAAGGGAAAGGAGTAGTGTAAGGCCCACGTGCTGCCCTATGATGAGTTTGCTTTGTGTTGCCAGAGCAACTCTATAGAGCTTGGTCCTTGGAGTATTTCTTTGTGGCTTGGAGATCCCATCACAAGTGCCAGAAGTCATTAGTGCAAGAGATGAGGAAGGAGAGAAGGCTTTTACATCCTGCTTAATAACTAGCTCCCAGTGTACAAAATAGCATAAAATGGAAACACTCTAGTGGTGCCGTGTGATATGGTGGATATCTGGTTATAACAGGTTCTTCATGTTCGATCTTTGGTCTCCTCTAAGCAGGACCTAATCTGATGGCCAGAAATGGTGTTTGACTTTAAGGATATTAAATATTTTACTACAGGCTGTCTTCTGTCAGTGTCTTCTGAGCTAAGACGTATTAGAGCTCATTTGGCTCAGTAAATTTTTTAAAACGTTGATAATCACTGGGCTAATGGCTGAGGAGCTTGGCACGTCCCATGCCTCTCCAGAAGTGACTTGTCAGTGAGCAATTCTGTTTTGAGATGTCCCACCAGCTCTCACTTCGCAGGGTTCACTGCTCTCCTGCTGCCTTTGTCACAGGGGGCTCAGAGGGTAATTACAACTATCCCACTTACGTCAGGCTCCATGAAGGAGCTGCTGGCAGTAGCAGCTTGGCAGCCCATTCCCTGGTGTGTGTGGGGCCACAGTGGGGCACACATTTTTTTTTGTCTGAAAGTAGTTCTGGCAGCAGGCAGGGAGCTTGAGAGCAGCCTCTAATGAGTTGCTTGCAGACACTGTCCTCTTTTCTGTGGAGTCTTGTCCTCTCATGCAGAGTGAATTTCAGGGGAGACACTAACTCTGACTTACAGTCTGCACACACTGGCGTTCATGAGAGGTCTTGGATGTTTGCATTTCATGTCTGACATGTGAAGTGACATGTGGTTGCTCCCTTCTAGGAGGCAGAAGAAGATGGCCTCTCATGCTGTGATGGAGCTGGAGAACACCAAGGATTCCATCGAGGCCAGGAAGCCCCTCCTCTGCCCTTCCCACCACACAGAGGAGGTAAGGCTGTTCTGTGAGCAGTGTGACCAGCCGGTGTGCCAGGACTGCGCTGTAGACAGGCACCGGCAGCACCGCTATGACTTCTCTGGCCGTGCCATCCACAGGCATGGGGATGCCCTGCGGGAGCTGCTGGAAGCAGCCGGCAGCACGTGGGGACCCTAGAGGACGTGCAGAGCCAGACTGATGACATGGGCAGTGCCATCCGCAGTCGCACAGAGGCTGTGGCCACAGAGATCTGTCAGTTTGCCAGTGGGTATGTGAAAGCCATTGAAGAGCACCGGCTGCTGAAGCAGCTGGAGGACTTAAAGGTGCAGAAGGAAAACCTGCTGCACCTGCAGAAGGCACAGCTGCAGCAGCTGCTGCTGGATATGAGGACAAGCGTGGAGTTCACGGAGCACTTGCTAACGAGCGGCTCAGACCTGGAGATCCTCATCAGCAAAGGGGGGGTGGTGAGCCGCCTGGCAAAGCTGAACAGCATTGCCTACAACACCAACCCCAGTGTGGACGACAGGATCCAGTTCTGTCCCCACAAGAGGGCAGGACAGTGCTGTGGCTATGAAGTTTTTGGGGCCATTCTCAATAAAGTGGTTGATCCAGCCAGATGTACCCTGCATGGGGAAGATAATGGGATTCTGTACAAGAGCTGAATGGGAACACACCACTCACTGAAGTCACCTCTCCCTTCTCTGAACCCATGTGGTGTTCAGCTTAAGGCACTGTTGGCTCCCTGCTGTCCAGACATTGACTAGGGGCCGGGGTAGAGCTCTGCTTGCTGAGGCCTGTGGGAGCTGTGCTTGTTAGGGAGCCAGAGAGCCCATGCATGTGCACAGAGTGTACTGGAGCTGCCCTCTGTAACATCACTGACCTCAGCATGGGGCTGAGGTGCAAGGAGGGCAACCCTTAGGCCAAAGAGGACAGTTTTCTCAGGGGCTGGGCATGGTGCCCACAATGGCAGGACATGATCCTCTCCCAGTGGCCTCAGCTGTTCTGCAGCATGGGCCCAGGCAGATCTCCTCTGTGCCTGAGCTAGTAGGTTCATTCCCCTTACAGCTTCTGCTGAGATTGCCATGGGAATCACTGGCATTGATGATTTCATGGGTGTTTGCTTACCAAGGACCTGAAGCAGTGCCTGCAAGCAGGTAATGTTCAAACCACCCCTCAGAGTGCAGCTCTGAGCAGTGGAGGCCAGCACAGGGCAGATGAGACAGACCCAAGGCTCGTTCGATCCCTTCCATGCCAAACTAAGTGCTGAGATCTCTGGGGCTCCACACTGTTCCTCTTCCCTTCTAGTTGCATGGCACCCCTTGAGGCCTTCTGGGAAGATACCAGCTGGGCTTTGAGGGGCACGAAAACTACCCTGGTCCGTACAGACTTCCCTGCTAAGCCTGCCCAACATCTCTCAGTGCCTATAGCTGTCCACTCTCTCTGATCCCAAGAAGTATTTTACTTTTCCTGGTGAGTGGAAGGAGCTGCACACCCCAGCAGCAAAGTTCTGACTGTGTTCTGGTGGGACTACAACACTGCAAAACAGGTGGGAGGTGGCAGTCATGGCTGGTGTGAATCCTTCCTGGTCCTGTTTCTCTGCCTTGCAGATCTCCACAGTGTCAGTCAGAACCAGCTGACTGGCTTTACCCTGCTCTTCAATGACACCGTGGGGGAGCGGATGGGGCAAGGAGGAGAGGCTGTGCAGGTCACCGTCACCCACAAAGACAAGAAAGATTGGTGGGTATTTCACCTGAGAACTCCTCAGTTACTGGGTTTGCCTTTTTACCTCCCTTACCCTGGCTCCCTCCTTGCTTGGGCAGGTGGGAAGACACGTTTCAGTCTGTGGGTCAGAATCTGCAGGGGAAAAATGATCTTCCCACCAATATAGCAGTGCCTCCTGCTCGTTGTATTTGGCTGTGTGGAGTTTGACAGTGTTGGCTCAGGTTTGTATTGAGCCTCTGAGTGATTTGGGACTTGTTAAAGGATTCAACTCTCAGTTCAGTGTCAGACATTGTCAGAGCGAGCTGTTGCTCCTTCCCACCTCTACCAGTAGACAACCAGGGCTCCTGTGTTTGCTAACACCTCGTGAACATAAAACATTGCAAACCCAGAATGACTCTCAGGAGTCAGACAGGCCGCCACGCCCAGGAGCCTCTGGCAGTTGGTGGAATTGCCTAGTTCATCTTCTGAAGAAAGAATCTCTGCTGGGACTTCATCATGCTTTCTCCTGTAGCTGCACGTGTTGAGCACTTTCACACGTTCGGAGGTTTTCTAGCAAGAGCAGGGAAGAGGGTGAGTGTTCCCACAGTGAGGTGAGCAACCAGAAAAAAATAATTTGTAACCGTTTCCAGGCTGCACTTGTTACTGTAAAGCAGCCAGGTACATATGCAGAACCAATGGAGGTCAGTTCTTAACAAAAACATCTATTCAGTTTGTAATACATACAGTTGAGCTGGAGCAAAGTGCCGGCGTAACTCCTTCCAGGAACGCTGTTGAGGCGATGACCTGGTGAGGAAAGGGACTGGATACTCCAGCTCCTTGCTGTGGGGGAGTGTTCACAAGGTGTGCAGAAGCAGTGCTGGTCGCACAGACCTTTATCAATAGAGCAAAATTGTTCAAGAATATGGTTACAATGTACCTCTCTTCCTTAGGCGAGCCTATCATATAGGAAGGCATGATCAGAAGGATTATGTGGATTTTGCTTAGTGGGGTAGAGGTCGCTGTGGCCACATTGGTTTCTTGTTTTTGCACGAATGCTGTTGTTATATCTGTGGCTGGAAGCCATCTGGCTTTGGGTTGAAACGCAGCAGCTAGAGAAGAGCATGAAGTATCACCACACACTCCATGGCAGGAAGTACTGTAGGCAGCTGTACTGATGTGAAATGGCAGGGGGTGGGGAATACAGCCTGCAAAGCTGGAAGATTATAAATTGTCATGTCGTGGGACACAAGAGACTAATTAGTTGGGATTAGGAAGAGCACCTTTCTCCATGCAGAGCTGCCTGATAATTGTCTGTGGAAAGCTCTCTCCATCTTGTCTGTGAAGCAATCAGTCCCTGAGTAACTAGCTGATGCTTTCTCCCTGGCACTCTGTCCACCAGGGTTCCTTGTGAAACTCAGCGTGCATCACTTTGGAAAGGGAGAGTTTGCCAGCAGGCACCTAGAACTCCTCAGGGAATTGAAGACAGTAGTTGAAGACATCCAGGCGTGTCCCGTTTATGTCCTGTCTTTTCCATTATCTCTACTGAAGGTAACTGCTCTCTGAAGCTGTGAATTTACCCCATTTCTGAGGGCTCTTATCTGATGGGATAATCTGACCTGCAAGTGTGCTGTCTGCCTCTTCTGCTCTTTCAGGGCTCAGGCTTGCTACAAATCCTTGCAGTGCAGCTAGCTTTGTGTGACTTCCTTTGTATGGTTATTGCAGCTTCCAGTAGCAAGTGTGTGTGAAAGCTACTCAGTGCTTGAGCATTGCTCGTGCATCCTGTTAAGCTCACTGGAGAGCTTGTTCAGCCTTGTTCAGCTGCTGAACAAGGCTGAGGATAAGGAACCAAGCACAAATCTAGGCCAGACAGTGGTTCACATGTAGAACAATTTTCTGCCAGTCACTGACCTCTTGGACTTCTCTGTGTTTGTAGTTCAGTCAAGCCAACAGTGTGTGATAACAGTGACGGGACCTACCTTATTTCCTACAGCCCCCAGGAGCCAGGCTTATATGCTGTCTGTGTCTATGTGAAAGGGCAGCATGTACAGGTAGCATTTCTTGTTCCTCTTCAGTGCTTCTCCTTTACCTGCTTTTTTTTTTCCCAAAAGTATTTGCTTCAAATCTTTCTAAGGATTGCTGCTACTACTCCACGGCTTAAGACTAGGCTTAGTGATATGTGACTGACAGGATCACCCAGTTGATTTCTGAAAATGCAGACACAACATCTGGTGGCATCAGATCTGACAGATGGTGCCCCTCAGGGGTCTGTAGTGGGACAAGCACTGCTTAATATCATCATCAATGATATATACAGTGGGATCGAGGGTACCCTCAGCAAGTTTGCAGATGATACCAAGCTTTCTTGTGCAGTCAACATGCTGGAGGGAAGGATTGCCATTCGGAGAGACCTTGACAGGTGTGAGAGGTGGGCCCATGCAAACCTCATGGTATTCAGTCAGGCCAAGTGCAAGTGCTCCTGTGTCAGGACAATCCTTGTTATTAGTACAGGCTGGGGGATTGTGTGATTAAGAGCAGCCCTGTGAAAGGGACTTGGGGATACTGGTGGATATAAAGCTTGACATGAGCTAACAATGCATGCTCACAGCCCAGAGGGCTGATTGTATCCTGGACTGCATCAAAAGCAGTGTAGCCAGCAAGATGAGAGAGGTGATTCTGTCCCTCTGCCCTGGTGAGATCCCATCTGGAGTACTGTGTCTAGTTCTGGAGCCCCCAACACATGAAGGACATGGAGCGAGTCCAGAGGAGGGCCACGAAGATGACCAGAGCGCCGGAGCACCTCCCATATGAAGACACAGGATTAGAGATAATGGTTATAAACCAGAACAGAGTAGATTTAGATTGGATATTAGGAAGAAGTTTTTTACTATGAAGGTGGTGAAGTACTGGATTGAGTTGCCCAGAGAGGTGGTGAAGGCCCCATCCCTGGAGATGGTCAGGCTTCAAGGTCAGGCTTGATGGTTTTGTGAGGAATGTGATCTAGTTAAAGGTGTCTGTGCTCACTGCAAGGGGGGGTTGGACTAGATGACCTTTAAAGGTCTCTTCCAACCCAACACTTTCTGTGGTTTTGTGATCCACTGCAGCAACCTCTCTGCTTGCTTCTCCCCTGCAGGGCTCTCCATTCACTGTCGTGGTGAAAAGAAAGTTCCATGAGCACCAGGGCATTTCACTGCTGCACATTCTGCTCAAGTGGAGGGCAGAAAGCTGCTCGCTGTGCCTGTAGGGGGACCATGCCAGGTGAGTTCTCAGCTTTCCCTGTGCTGCTGGCATCAGGAAGGTTTGTTGCATCGAGTCCTCCCTAGTGTAGATAAGTGAGTAGATACTCCAGCCCAACTCCTTCCTTGGACATGCACCAGGCCTGGGTGTACATATCTTCTGGCAAGATGGGACTGCAGCAGTGAGAAAAACAGCAGGACAAGCTGAGGGTCATGTTAGCACACCCCATAGACAGAGACCTGAGCCGGCTCTGCAGGAGATGAGGTGAAGCAGCTCAATCTTTCAGCCCTTCTCAGTGAGCCTAAGCAGCACTGTGGCTACACTGTTCCTGCTCCAGTCCTGGCAAGTTGGGAGCTTCGGGGCTGTGTTGCACGGTGTCCAATGCTGTCTGTTTGAAAAGCCTCACTCCTCATTTAGTATGAGAGTTCAGCTCCCTTTATGTGTTTAGTCCCAACCAACTTCCTTGTTCTTAACCTGCATGTGTCATTGTGTGTTTTGTGTGGTTTTGGTACAGAACCAGGCTCTTCCTTCTGTGCTGGATCTGTATCTAACTCTAGCCATAGCCACTGTTGGCTGGCACAGGGTTTTGCAGGCCTGTGTCTTATGTTACTCAACAGGCAAGGGGACAGAAATCTTCGGCTGTCCCAGCCTTTGTAACAGAGGGGGGTTCCTCTCTGTTGTTCTCCTTTCTTTAAGGAGCCCTGGTAATTTTAGCCTTGAATATGCTGTTCTGTGATCAGCACATGACTTCCCATCTGAGAGAAGTCCTGGTGTTGAGACACTTTGTGAAAGCCTCTGATAAACTAGGATTTTCTGTCCCACTTTTGATTGCCTCTTCTCTTGCAGGTGGGTACCAAGGCTGTGGCCATGGACACAAAGGTCACCCTGGATGCCTCCACTGGTCATGTTGTGGACAAGTGAAGGACAGCTCGGAGTGTTTGAGAGGGCCACTCTCTGACACCTCTCAGAGGAGTTTGCTCAGGACAGTGGTGCTCTGAGCAGCCGGGTGAGCCTGTGTCTGCTCGGGGCACTGCTGCTGACTGCTGCATAAACACAAGCCACGATGATCCTTGCCATTATTGCATGGCCTCACTGCCAGAAAACAACGCTGTGAAAACTGTGAAAGAGGAAGGAGGGAGAATAAAATTGTGCCTTATTTTCCCTCGGGGCTGTGCACGCAAAGTTATTTTGTCCCTGAACAGGAGCAAACACTGGGAAATGGTACTGGTGCCTACACTTTCAAGGTCTTGAGGTCTGTGGGGTCAGGCTGTAAGGGGAAATTCAGTCTGAGCAGTTACCTCACAGGAGAGTCAAGATGTGTCTCGTTCTGCGGGGTCAACAACAGTCTCTGCTGTCCTTGAAGAGGCCAAAGCTTCTTGTTGGGGCACATTCCAAAGGGTTTGTGTTTGTGCCTTGGAAAGGCTTGGCAGGCTGCATATATCCTCTGCATCCCTGTCAGATATGTAGCACATATAGCACAGTCACACTCTGGGAGCTTCTGTTGTGTTTACAGCTCTTATATTTTCTCCAAGTAAGCTGCAGTCTTACTACCCTCTTCCTGCAGATTAGGAGCAAGGTGGGTTAGTAATATAACTGAAGGAAATCCAAGGAAAAGTCATTGTGCTGATGGGAGCAGGAATTAGTGTCATTCACCCATCTGTATGTTCTCTGTGGAGATGTTGTGGGACATAGCACTTCTGGGGGTGATGTAGAAGCCAGGAGAGAGCACTCAGTTCAACCAGGAAAGATGGGACAGTCTGAGCATCAGTTGGAGCCATACGTGGTAGTTTGCAGCTGTCTTCCCTGGACTGGGGCAACTAGGCAAGAGCAACAGAGGGAGTTGGAATACAGCAAAACTGGGTTTGACTTTTGCAATCTTGGCAAGGCTTTGTTTTTGGAAGGAGAGCTTCTCACATTTTCCACAGAGGAGGAAGGATGTATCTATCACCTGGGCTTGTACATGTGTTGCCAATCTGTCATTGTGGAAATGGCAGCTGTGATGAGGAGGAAGAGGCACTTTCCTGGAAGGGAAGCTGCTAACCTGCTGATTGGTGCCTGCCACTTGCCTGGGTGGCAAGTGGCTGTTCCTGAACAAAACAGAACTGTGTTATTGAGGCTGGGAATGCTACTGCCCTGGGCATAACCTTGCTAATAGGTATGTGTTGCTAGGGGCTCCTAATGCTGCCTGGGGAGCTGGGGACAAAGATCTGACTGTTGGTCACTTGGGGAGAGGAATGCTGCTTCAATGTCAACAGTAAGGACTGACTTGTAAATCGTAGAAACCTGTGCTGTCTGTTTGGTCGCTCAGACTTGGAAGACTCATTTGTTGTTTGTTCCTCTTACAAAGCCAGTTTTGGAACTTCTTCCCAGCAAAGGAGATAGAAATCCTTATGCAAATGCTGTTTATAGTTTTTCATTAATCATGCAGAAAGGGTTGTCAAACAAACGGGGGGAAGTTAGGCAGTTTAAATCTCCATGTTAGGTAATTGAAGTCTCCAAGTTGCTGACTCTAAAATTTCAAAGTGAAAATTCAATACGAGTTAGCCCTTAATGAAACAAACAGTAACTTATTCTTTGCTATGTGCAGAGTCACTTCTTAGTACCCGAATGTGATGTAAAATAAAATACCTCATTTTCTTTGCCTATTTCTTGTTCCCCACCTCCCACCTGTGCATTGGTTTTTGTCAGAGCTTCCATGCTGTGTTGCAGAGGGAGGACATAAGGACAGCACTGCCTTCTAGGTGTGTAATTTCTGTCTAAAAATACCTTAGTCCTCTCAGACAGAGGAATGTGTTTTCTCTTTGTGTTAGGCATCCCTTACACACCCTGTCGCTGACATTTTCCAAGAAGCTGTCTGTGAGAATTACATCAGCAAACACATAAACCCTACAAGGAACTGCATTCGACTTGGGCTGAGCTCTAAATCTGACATGGGGAGAGCCGTTTGTGGACAGCATGGGGTATTAATCCTGCCAGGATCAGGCCTTTGTGTTTGTTTAGTTTTGTTTGTTTGGGTTTTTTTGGCAGACTCAAAGGTTTAGTCACTCCCAAGAATTATAAAGTATTGACCAGCTACCACTCTGTGTTTGGGCAAAGAGGGCTGTGCATGAGGGTAGCTTGAGGAATCACGTGCAGAAAAGATATTAATGACCTTAGTCACTTTGTGGGCGTTAGGTGCAAATGTCCTCCCATTATTTGAAAGCAGAATTTGTCCTCAGTATTCATTACTCAGAGTGTTTTGCCAAATGAATGTATTCTACTGATCTGCTGGAGTCTCACATTGGTCCCCAACAGCCATTCCCAGGAATAGCTTCCAGTGCTCTGTTGGTAATCAGCATTGGCCAGGTGATGGATTAGGAGTTGTAGTTGGCCTGATGGGCTACTAAATGTTATTTCTGACCAACTGACCCTGGAGATAACAGAGGTATTTTCAAGACAGACGTACATAAGAGTGCTGAGAGAATTACACCAGTAAATATGCATGTTTTTCCCAGAAGAAAATCCCTTGCTGGTAAAATTTCCTGTTTCCAAAGTTTTGGGGAAAAAAAAACAGAAAAAATGGGGAAAAAAAAGTGATAAATATGAGTGGGGCTTTTGGGAGGCAAGAGAAGGACTTACTCCTCAAATAGGGAAAATAGAGTGTAGCTGTAAGGAAAACACACTGCAAGAACGAGAGGCTGTGGAAGACCTGGAAGAGGTCCTGCAGCCTGGAAGACCCACGTGGAGTGCCTCTAGGGTCAGGTGTCACAGGTGTCATGCTAGGGTATCTGTCCCTTCTCAGAGGAGGCAAACCACACTGGTGACACAGCTGCATTTGCAGGTCTGTGCATGAGCATCGCGTTTGCCCCAGGAGATCAGAGGAACAGTGCAGAAGCTGGCACAGCAGGGCTTGTTGGGCTTCCCACGGCAGAAGGTGCTGCACTAGGATGCACTGACTTCCTGGGGTGTCGTGTCAAGACAGATCTTGGCAGTGGCCCACAGGCACCGCAGGGGAATTGGCTTATTTCCAAGCAAGAGTGGCTCATCACCTCCCTGTTTTGAGAGATGAGGGCTTGTTCTGAGTGCTGCTGCTTCCAGCTTCCCTTCAAGGGCAGGTGAGGCTGAAGACAGTTGGAGCTGAAAAGTCAGTGCAGGGGTCTCCTCCTTCCAGCCTTCAGGATGAGACCATGAGTGTTCCCACCCCCAGTGCTTCTCAAGCACCTCTTGACACCATTGTTACAGATGTGGGAGCACAAGGCTGGAAAAGCATCCAGTTTATTTGCCAGATCCCAAGGACAGCTTTTATCTTTTTCAGCCTTCTGGCTGTCTTCACTTCTCTTGAGTGCTCCGTGACACTTGGCTGCTTGCCAGCTTACCACAACTGCATTTGCTCTTGCTTTGCTCCTTCAGCTTCACAGTGACATTGAAATAAGACATGGACTTCCATATGTAAGGGAACTCTTCTGACATGATGACTATTTGTGAAGACAGAAAGAAGTTGTACCATGAAGGGCAGAGTGATAGCATTCTGGTTCTTACACCTGTGCCTCCCCCAGACCACTGAACATCTTCTTGGCCCCTCACCCACCTTCAGTCCTTCCTGCTTCCACTGTTCCCCCTTGCAGGCAAGAGGCAGCACGTGCTATGGCCAACTCTAGGGCACCTGCTGGTAGGCCGGGTAAAACAGGGTAGCACTTTGTGCCTGTTGTCACTTCTCCCTCAGTCAAGGCAGCCAATGTCTATGTTCCCCAGGTGCTCACCAGCTTTCACAGACTGTGTGGCACCAGATCCTGCTCCTATGTTGGGTTGGATTTCACTAATAGGTTTCAAAGTGGTAAGAGCTGGGCAGGCCATGTAGTTACGGATCCTTGAATTCTTTGGGAAATACTCTGAATACCTCTTGTTTTTTGGTCCTACCAGGGCTGCCTGTGCCTGAGATACAGACCTGTCCTTCCAAAATGGAAGTAACTTGATCATTGACCCTGCGTTGGAGTGTGCTGGGGCTGTGACCTGGAGTTAACTGGTGCTGAAAGAGGACACCTCATTTGTGCACTGCACCACAGGCAGCCATAAATCAGGTGTCACCAAGGGCAACAGGGTAATTCTTAGTATCTGTTTCCCACCAGGCCACTATGGCCTAGAGTTATTCTTAGCTTCTAATGATGCTCTGCTAAATTACAACAGTTTTAGTAATCAGTAGAGTACTACAGAATAAGTCAGATTTCTTTTTTTTTTTTTTTTTTTTTAG